TTTTTTTGAGTTTTGGATTTCGGGTGTTCAATCACCGCACTACAACATTTAAACAAACGTTTGGGTGTTAATGACCATTATTATCCGGGTTAATATTGGTTAGTACGGGTGTTAAATAGTCAAGGAAAAATATTATTTTTCATTAGTGGAGGGTTATGGGGAGGCAGAGCCCCCCTCCACCAATGAAATATTTATCATTTTTGTTACCTGCCTATGTAATAAAATATCAATTTCTTATACGACTGTGCAACAGTTTTTTAGATCAAACTATCATTATGTTAATTTCAAGCAATGGTGTAACTACGATTTAATATCGGGGAAGAGGGGGTTATTTTACATGTGTATGAAGCTTATAAATAATCTATTAAAATTAAAAATACAAACACTATGTTCTACTCCTAGTTAGTGCGGGCATATTGCATTTGACAAAAAATAAACTATTTTGTATTCTGCGTTTGTGTTTGTGGCATAGGCGAAAATCGAGGGGAGCTTGAGGGGACTAAGCCCCCCAGAAATATAAAGTACAGGTCTTAGCCCTCCTAGCCCTAAAAACTGTTATGTGACTCAAATACAATAATTAATATAATTTTAAAATGCATTTTTAATAACTGAATTAAAAAAGAAATATTCTGTGATAAAAATTAAATCTAATTCGTAAGATTTTACAAACTTCTTGTCATGACCTGGAACGATCGCAATCAATGTAATAACACCCATATAGATTATTTAATTTAATTAATTAATAATTTTTGCTTAGAATACCTACTCCAAAAATGTTTAAGATAAGGCACCTAATTGTTTTTTTGTTTAAATTGTTGATTAAAAATGTCGAATTGTCAAACTTCGTAAATTGCCTAGTTAAAATAAATAATTGCGCACAGTGGTACCTATAGGTAAAATAAGCAAATAATGCTTAGCCCCCCCACAAATTTCCGCTTATGGTTTGTGGTGCGTGCATATCCTAAAAACGCACTAGCTAAGACATAGTGTAATACAAAAATAATACTAATTTATACTTATGAATGTTACGATGAAATTATTACACCAACAAAAATTGACAATTCACGCCATAGACATATGTAGTACACGCCATACGCTGAACAAATATGAATAACGCGAACAACAATTTAGGTAATCATACGCGAGACATCAATTCTATTTCAGACTTACAGTATTGCAATAAATAACTACTCGGTGATTCGTAGAAGACCTATTACCTATTAAATTATAATAATACGACGTATCCGCTTGGGATAATTTTAAAAATAGTATCTCAGTTGTTTACACTTGAACATTCAACATACAATACCATTCATGCACACCTGTCAATATGATATATTGATATTGTCTTTATTTAGATACATTTAGATTAATTATCAATTTTGTAAATTATTTGTGAAATTATTCCTGTGAATAATAATTTTACTATCAAACAACTAATGACCAAATTGAAATAACCACAAAAAATAAATACAAAATGATATGTCACATAAAGATTGTAAAATAAAAAATTATTCGGGTTTCGGGTTAAAACCAATATTTTATTCGGGTTTTGGTTCATTCGAGTGTTTTAAAAAAAAAATCATTCGGGTTATATGGGTTTTGGATGTTTGATTTTTTAAGGGTTTTTAGGGGTGTTACGGGTTCGGGTTAATTCGGGTGCAAAGCCCTGTGTAAAATATTGTTATTCCATTTTATGTAATTAGAATAAATTTAAAATATTTATATATTTTATAAATATAAGCCTATAGCATAGGTAATTAAATCAAAATTGTTGATGGAATTCTTAGTAGGTATTCGTATAAAGTTTAAAAATGTTAAATTAAGATATTATAAATAATTACTTGAGTACCTATTAAAAATATGATATCACATGTTCATTATCAGGATGAAATTTATTTTTTTCTGTGTTCAGTCATTAAAATAATTCATTTATTGGCAGTTAGTATTAAGTCCATTATTTTACTAAATTTGAAAGATTGTACAATAACCATCACATTGGAAATTTTAGAAATTAATTTCATGTGTATAATTACCTTTTTTGTCGATCCATTGTTTCAATTGTTCAGTGTAGATGCATTTTTAAACTTATGAATCATAAGTTATGATAAATCACATAAGTGATGACTTCACATAAATTATGATAAAAATAATACCAACTATTTATTGAAAATGTTAAAGTTTGATGACTAACAATACTTTTTATGGATTACGCAATATTTATGTATGAACGATTGTGAATTCTATGTTTACCAATTTTCTCTGTGTGTTAAATGCCAGCGGAAAAAAATTGAACTTATACATATTAAATTTTGAAATCTAGAATACATTTTTATTTTATCCTGTATTTATACTAAGTATTAGAGTATTATTTTTAAAAGGATTAAATATTTTTTTATGACTTGTAGAATAACTGATTTGAACTTTTCATCTCAAAATAAAACGATACATGTAGTTTAAATATTTAAAATCATCATGTTTTATATCCGTCAAGGAACATTTTACATTATGGTACCCATAAACACTATTAATATTTAAAATGCAGTGATTTGATTCTAATATTTATAAGTCGATTTATAGTTATTTATGATTTTTAAAAATAATATGCGAATAATGATCAATACTGAAATTAGAGTAGTTTATTATAATAACGGGTGATATTATCTTTCGTGTGCTTTAAAAAGACCAAAAAACCAGTCGGATGTAGATAATATAGATGGGCCGTAACCAAGTGTATAGTAAATGTGTTTTAATTAATGCAACATATTTATTATTATTGGTACGATACTTAAGATTAATATTAATGTACAGCTTTTCATTATTATTTACATATTTAAAATATTATTTACAGAACTAGAGATTTTCTCAGAAATTTTGAATGGGGAGCGGGTATATCAACATGTATTAAATAAATATATAAGTGTTGTGATGAGTAATTGTTTTTTTAAGAGGGCTCCAATTTGTATTTATACCCCGGCCTCTTGAGACTTAGATCCGGAACTGGATGTGGTAGCCAGTGTAAAGTAATGTCTAGGCGTGTTTCAAAACTAAAATCAAATAATATCATTATGTACACCTAAGTATATTTTTAATCGTAATAATAACATAAAAAAAAATGTTTTGAAAATTACTTGGTATCTATCATATTGCCATTTGGGCCGTAAGTCGTTTGCGCATTACTATTGTTCATTTGGATCTTTTTTTTAAGACATCGTTCGATTGTTGGGTTATTCATCATTTGCACATTACCCGTTTACCTTACCCGGGGTATTTCATTCGCATTACAATGCACAGTTTTACAGTCTTCATTTTTCAATCCTTCAATATGGAAAGTATGCAATTGTAATTTTTATAAATTATTAATTTATTGATACTACATTTAATTGTTTTACATAGGTACTTAGGTTATAGAAACATCGAAGAAATACAATCAGAAGCCTACATAAAAATCAAAGATTTTTCTTGTGGTATCCATTATTTACAATGGGCTCCTGAACATCGAAAACTAATTGGCTTAGGTATATCACAGGTTATAAAAATATACTTGATTTTGTAAAAATGAATGGGATATTAAAATATACCTATTGATTAATAATATTATTTTAATTTCATTATTGAGTTTTATTTTATTTTCATATTTTATTTATTTACTTTTAAATAAAAACTCACGTAATTCAAATACTCTCTTGCACCTACCTACCTTACTATTATGTTGATGCGCAAATGATGTACGCTATTTTGGCACTGATAAACAGATGATGCGCAAACGATGACCGGCCCGTCATTTAATATAAAAATAACATAAGAATGTAAAATCAATAATCATTCATAATAGTCAAGGGTAGAGGTTGAACCCACTAAACCCCTCTTGGGCATGCTTATGTACAAGATCAGTAATGTTTAAAAAGAAATGTCAATATTTTATACTGATAAGTATTATTGCTATTAACATATTGCCAACTTTTTGAGCCTGGCAGAAAATAAATGTTGAATGGAATTATGATAAATTTGGAATTCAGAGAATATTTTTTCAATATAAAAAATATTAGTTAATAGTATTAACTATATATTAATTTTTAATTTTAATTTAATTTTTTATTATTTTCTTAATTTTTTTTTGTTTAAATACTTACGTTTTTTAATCATTTTGAAATTTTATTTGAAATTTATTTGTTAAATTATTTTTTAATTGTAAAATTACAACCGTAAAGAAGTTTAAGATTTCAAAAATAATAACATCTTGATTTATTATTATTTTATACGTTTTAGCTAACCTATTGATAAATAATATTAATATTAAACAACAATGGTGCAAGTACAATTTTTGTTTATGATTATTACAATTATTTTACCGAGGTAATAATACCTACCAATTATTACCTATTTTCGTCTCATTTTAATAAGTATTATATAATGTTTTCCATTTTAAATTTAAAATCATTTGTCCATGGCAAGTGGTTTTAGAATTATAAATTTTATGTTACATCATCTCATAGGTAATTCGAAGTATAAACAAAAATAGTTTACCGTTTGATGTTGTATGTAGGTAAGGGTTCAAGTGCAGTTGATGTAAATAACTAATTAACGATGTTAATTATTTCAAACGACTTGCTTTTGATTATTATCCTTGTCTTTGTGTATTTTCAGGCAACAATGCCATTTCACCATCATTATTAAAAATAAACAACGAAGAATATCTTGGGGCGCTTTCCACCACATCTTCGTATTTTGGTGGTGATTCTAATTCCTACATTAAAAATGTAAAACACTTTGTTAGTTTATTTATTTATATGATACATATTGAAATACTGCGATATATATATATTATTATATTGTATAATTATTGTTTTTTTATTAATATTTTTGTTTACATTTCTCCAAGTGTGAACAAATCCACGATTTAAGTTTTTAACAATAAGCATAGTTTTTTTTTACAAGTAAACACTCAGATTTTTTTAGTTCCGGTAGCAGTACGGTATTTTCACTATACTTTTTCTCTGTATTATTGACTCATCAATTTACAATTGTGCCAATTATATACTACCAATGCCGAATCCAATGATGGTAAATTATCTGATGTGCAATTAAATTCTCATAACAATATTTGAAACTTCTTATTGTCTTAAATTGTTTAAATACATACATAATATAATAATAATTTATATAATATTTAATATATTTATACATCAGTTATCACTGATTATATGGTAGAAAATATATATAAAATGTATGTATGATAATTAAGTATTGTATTTTCTAAACAAATAGCAATGTTATTTGTTTATTAAATAGTACTGTTTGTATAGGTACACTACACGCATAAATTCATTTTGATTAGTAATTACGTATGAAAGAAAAGAAAAAGCGTAGTTGCTCTTTTACAAGAAAATTAAATGGAAAAACAGTAATATGAAAACAAAATTGCAGGGTTTTCTAGCTTATGAATTTTTAATAATAAGTGAAATTGTTTTACATTTGTTGTGCTCATAATTTGCAAGCTATATTATAAGTTGAAATACAATATAATTATGTTATTATTTTATTTTTTGGTTGTGTAAATAAAATTACCAATACAATTGTTAAATACACATTTTCAAATGAAAAAAAATTGCTAAAAATATGTTTGAAAAAAATTATCAATAAAAAAAAAAATAGAAGCAATAATTGTGTAAATTGAAGTTTTATCAATACTGACTTTGTTCTAATTGGGAATAGTGCTGTGAGTTAGAAAAAACTTATTGTTCACACAATTTTGAGTCATGCAAATAAGTAGTACATTCACATATTTAAAAAAATTCATGAGGGAGATATTTAGATAATTTTTTGTGATGATATGAAAAAATAAAATTTAATATGTTTATAACTTATATTAGATAAGTATCAACTACAACAATGGTGGGTGGGGTCTGAATCCCAAGTTGCATAGCTGTAGCGATGTATAGATCATCTCCCCCTTGGAATTGAGGAAATGTAAATTCCTCAAGAGATATAGCAGGTAAAAATCATATTTGGGTATGTTTACATAAGTTCCTTCAAGAAAAAAATATAAGGTTAGGTTAGGTTAGGTTAGGTTATAAGGTTTCTACATGAATAAAAATTATAACAATATATTAAAAAATTTCCTTCCCATTTTATTCAGACTGATGACAGTCAATGTTGTTTGTGTGATTGAAATTTGCTTGTTTTGTGTTTTATAATTTTCAATTTTTAATTGAATTTTGTTCATATATAATAATGCATAGTTGATCCACATATTATACGTATTTAATATGATAATTATATATATAATGATAATAATAATAGTTAAATTTTATGTGGCATATTATGAAAGCTCAATATTTTAATATAATCATACTATGTTATTTGTTTTTAGATGTATTCTCATATTTTGTTCAGTTGTGTGCAAAGGACTTGATTTATAGTACGTGCCTCAATTTAAAAAGGTGATGAATGTCCCGGGTCTGGAAAGTTTAATATTTTTAAGTTATGAAAGGGATTTCATAATTTATTTTGAAAAGGCAATAATGAAACTTGAAAGATCATTCAATGTGTTAAAAGCATTTATATTAAATAAATTTATTTACTTCAATAATAGTTATTCTTTTTCTTCTCCTTCACCTCAGCCTTTCTTCCAAAAAAATTTAATACATTTTTTTTTCTGGTCAGACTATATAAATTATTGTGCTTCATTATTGAATTAAGTTCACCACGCTACTGATTTTGTTGTTTACATAATTTCGTTTGTTTTGCTTATTTTTGAGATCCATATATCTGATGTTATTAGTTTAATATATGTATTTGCTTAAAACATTTTTAAGACTCTAAGTATTTTGAATATATTAGAATTATGATAATAAAAATTTGAGTTAAATTCGGAGTGAAATCTTTCACAAGCATTTGTAGTAAGACTTCTACAAGAACTAGCATTAGTCTAATTACTATGAGGAAAGTAATATTTTCCTCTATATAATTTGTTACTAAATAATCGCAAAGTTCGTTTTTATTAAAATTATCTGGTTTTTCAGCAATGAATCATGTACTTTTTTCGTGTAGGAATTTACACATGTAAATGTTTACTTATTATATTTCGTGCAAGAACTTAGCATATTAAAATTTTTTATTGGTGATCTTTTAATCACGGTTAAAGCCTATATTGTCTATAGATAATAGAATAATATAGTATTTATACACGTGATCGGCCCTCTCCTTAATTGAGTTCCAAATACGCTACTGGGACTCCGTGAGCCTCCCTATCTGAAAATATGCCATTTTAGTAGTACACAACTAAAGTACTTATTTTATTCTAAAAAAATAATTCCTAGTTTATGTATGTTTAAATTTTTTACAGAAAAAAAGCCATATTTATAATTCAATATTATGAACGTATCTTCTAAATTGTTTAATAATTTGTATGTTTATTTGGTGATAAGAATAGTTAATTGGGAATTTTATCTCGTTTGTGCGTAATACCATTGATTTTATAGTATTTATAATAATAATAATTATTATAAATACTATAAAATCAGTGGTATTAATTAATTATTAACGGTAACACTTGAGTTAAACAAGCGGTCATCCGTTATGTTGGTATTTCGACCTATAATATAATTACTTGACCTATTTATTTGTCGAATACGTCAAATTATTAATATAAAACAACAGTAATTATTTTATGATATTCATAAATATGATACAAATGATATGTTGTACATATCCGTGAGATTTCATATTATTTTATTAGTAGCATGTTGAAGTTGTCATAGCAAAACGATGAGTTAATTTTAATTGAACTATTTAATAATGTAATTTAATTTGGTAAGTAGTAAAAACTACCCCTATGAATACAAATTTAAATCTTTTGTAGTCTTATTCTGACCATTATAATTACCAAAATCCACTTAAATAATGTTTAACAGTATGCTCGTATACAAAATCAATATGACACAGCAGTTACTCGGTGAAATTAGAGTCATTATATGCCGGTCCCCATAATGAAATGTAAGCAAAATTACTCTAACCAATTTTTTGCCACATGTTAAAAATAGGTTTTTAGTTTTTATTCTGACCTAAGTGAGAAATTTATTATTTATTATTATTATTAAGAGAGATACTGAAAATGTTCAAGGTTAAGTCATATTAATATAGCAGGGCCAAATAAAAAAATCTAATATGTATATATATACTCGTATAAATAGGTATACGTCGGGGTCGGTTTTAAAATTCACATTAAATTTATTTACATTTATAAAAATCTATACTGATTCTAATTTCAATGAATGTACTACAATTTATCTGTGTACTTATCTAACTCGGATATATAGATCATCATATAAACGTACGTGTGTAGTCAAAGTCGTGTCAAACATTTCAACGCCCTGGGGCAAAATAATTTTTTCTTCGGGGCCACTGGGCATAGGTAGCATATCAAGTGCAAATAAAGACAACCCCTTACTTTTACAAAACTACGGTGCCTGTGGGAAATTTCCCCTTTTGACCCTTCCCCTCTTAACACGGCCCTGTATGTAGTAGTACCGAAGTCCTAAACATTTAGTCGAGGAAAAATATTTAAAAAGAGGCCACAATATCTAAATATCTACCCAAAGGCGTTCCAAAAGTGGAGGAAGGGATAATGGTTTTAACTCAAAAAATATTGATGTTAGGTTTTAATTTTGTAATGAAGCTTTCAAATTGTTTGGCAATCAAACTTCGACCCAATATGAATATAATCCTAATCTAATATTGAATCAATCCTAAATTTTTAAAAAATATCAGGCCAAGGCTCGATCTCAATATAACATTGATACTTATCTATACGTGTATGTGTATAAGTTATTTAAACGTTTCAAAAATGTAACCTACAATATGTATAATCATAAGCGAAAATATCTTACAAAGGGAGATATCAAATGTCACGACATATATTTCAGAGGCTAAAATATATACTTTTTCGTACTGCACACTTAAGGATTTTATCGTACTCCCCTTTCAAAAATATGTAAAATTAAAAATAAATACCATAATATAGAGAATAGAATCACAACACATTTTTTAATTTCATACTACACACTTAAAATTTCGTATTACACAAAGTGTGTCATATTGCACACAATTTTAGTCACTGATATATCCCACATGACGCGTTCAAATAAAGAAAACTTCGTTTTAAAACGTTTTTAAAGCCCGAAGCATAAGTATGATAATAACTATAATTACAGTATAGTGGTTTATATTTTGAGAAAATCGTTTTTGACGCGTGCTTACTATGTCCAAAACCCTGTGGTTCCGTTTGTCGACCATTTTCATCAGCATTATCGTGGGACTGATAATTAACATGATAACCGCAATCGTGATCATTATGACGCCGGCCACCACGGCGTGGGTGCCGCTCTCGTCGAACGGCTTAGCTGCTGTCCCTTGATGATTATGATGACCGATATCCGGCTTTACGGTCGTGTCATTGACAATCATCCCCATCTCTGACTTGTACATAGACGGTTGTTGCTGTCCGTCCGCATTCACCTGGTTTAGTCCTCTGCGCAACAGCATTACACTCACTGTAAACCAGGCGATCACTTGAGACATCATGACCAAATATTTGGCCAACGCGTTGCCGTTAATCGGCATCACATATACAGCTTGTGGTCGGTTTCCGTACTAACGTTGTGCATTTTTTCTGAAAAATCACCACACTTACACAGTCATTGGTTGAATAGGTACATGGTCATACGTATAATTTGTTCTTAAGAAATCCAAAATATTAAGTATTACAAAAATATTAGAAACCGTCAATATATAATCGGTATACACTGATTCGTCATCAATCGATCGATAAATACTTTAGTTTCATATTTACCGAATTTTTATCAACCGATGTGGTTTCTCGATTGCTGTCGATATCGAACCAGTGTATTGCTGGCTTATTACATGCAGAATCATCTCGATATTCAAGCGTCTTCCACACGTTTTTCTTTGTAATTCACAATTTTATAATAGGTTTTTTTCCTTTTTCGAATCTTAAAATCCTAATACTGATAATAATGAATATTCGCATCGATGGTTTTTACTTCTTCACCTTATGAGGTGCATGGCACGGTCTTATTCAATGACTTCGAGAGCTGCTACATACCTACTGCAGTATAATTAGATACGAAATATTATAGTGCTGCATAATACAACAACACCATAATGGTTCAAGTATTTATATCATCGTGAGACGTGAGTTAAGTATAATATTATTATAGTGATCGGATTTTATTGTGAATGTTGTGATTATAGTTGCAAACATTTTTAGCGGTGGCAATCACGGTTTCCTGTTCGAGGTTTTCTTATCAGTGCAATATCCGTTGGTAACGATTACTGACCGTGAAAACCATCGTGATTGACATTATAATAATATTTCTAAATAATTTAAATTACAATCGTGAAAACGATGCATGACTTTGAAATCCGAATCACGTGTGGTGATTTGTTTGCAAAATGAACGCTCATGTCCTTGACTCTTTCGATAACGTGTAGTCACGAAAAAATAACAACAATAAAGCAAGCCGAAATTGTAACGATTTAACGTATTATAGTGGTATAAAAAACTCCAGACTTTCATTGACATTACCATTGTACGTTTGAGACGATGACCTCGTGGACCCACACCTTAACGTGATTTTTTTCTAATGGGATATAAAGTATGAAATGTTCATCATAATAAATATGCTACGCAGTAAATCAACACAACAGTCATATTTTATGCTATAGTGACAACAACGACGTAATAATATTATCGTCTATGTTACATATTGCTGTTATCTGATTTAAAAATATAAAATCTGTTGATACAATAATAATCTCATTGAAATATTTGTATAGTATCGCACAAAACAGCAGTTTTACATTTCAAAATAAAATCATATAACTTCAGAGTTGGTTCTAAGGATATTAACTAACAATAATTTATAATATTGTAATTGAAAATTCGTTTAGTTAAAAAAAAAAATCCATTGTCCTCAACCGTTCATGTAATTTAAAACATTTTCAATTGTATTTCAAATATATTAAATATTTAGAATATCGGCTGTTATAAAATAGTTTTACTTTTTATGTTGGAAAAATGAACATTTCTGTAACTATACTTATAATATTGCGTATATTTTAACGCCACTGATATAGTGGTATAAATATACGTGTGTACTGTATATGTTAATTATAATTACCTATTAAGTTCAGCGTTTTCGTTATCATGATAATTATTTTTTTATTGTTCAAAAAATATTTTTAAAATGCCAGCATTGATTATTTATATTTAATTGAATAAATTAATTTTTAATGACGAATCTATCATTATAATATTGATATTGAATTCATTAAATTTGAATCTGCTTTGGGAAGTACATCTAGAATTATAGTTCTTAATTTAATCAAATTCATTTTTGAGATTTCTTTTTGGTTAAAATAAAAATTATTTAGAATAAGAAATATTGTTTATTTAGAATAAAAATAAAATATTATTTGAGAAACTTGAATGTTTACTTATTAAAAATATTATAAACAAATATAATTTTAAATTGTTAGAATTTGGTATATTATATTATAATACACACACACACACACACATATATATATATATATATATATATGGGTTAATAATTCGGATGAGTTACAAGAAATACACATGGTATAGATAAAATAATCAACATATAAGAGTAAATATAATTTTTGTTTTAAATTTGTATTTATTTCTTTAATAAATTCAAAATGTTTAGTAAAAAAAATCAGTTTTAGTATTGAATTTAATTCTGTATTTTAATGATTAATCCAGTCCAATTATAATGAAATATTTGTAAGTACAAACTGATAATAATAATAATAATAATAATAATATTCTGAATACGGTATTACTTATTAGTTATTTATATTGTTGCTTGATAACTATTTATTATCATGAATTATTCTACTAATTATAACGTGACCATTTTGCTTGTAGATTAATTGAAATTTAAAACAATATTTATAGTTTTTTAACAGATTTGGTGAATTTTATAATTAACAAAATATAGTAATAAATACTAAAAAATATTCACTAGTATAGAAAAATATTTAAATATATTATACATAATATATGATTACTTACTATCTAAATTATATGCATGAAGATAAACAACTGATTCTGTAGCATATACATCATTATTAGCACTTGATTAGAAATTTAGAATCAATTAATTAATGCAAATTCCTCTGTATGCACAACATTAAATTTACAATTTGATTAGTAATTATTAATTTTTGTATTTTAACGAATATGTGTAGTTACATCAATTCTCAATGCTCAACGTCTACTGGAAGAATATTACACTAGCTGCGCACAGACACATCCTGCCTGATGGCGTGAGTCACTAAAGCCGGCAATTTAATATTTTGACGAACAACCTTAGCTGTTCTTATATTGTGACCCACTGTGATGGTGTTTATTGTTTTTTTCCAATGTTAACAAATGTTGTATGCAGTGTAGCCTCGATTAATTTCTTTAATATAAATTTGATGGTAAAATCAGGTAAAATTTATATAAATTTAATATCTATTTTTTAAAATGCATCTTGTATTATATTTTACATGATAAACAATGCAAATTTATTCAATAAAACATGCAATTTATTTGGTAATTAAAAAAAAAAAATGTCAAGTTAAGTACATATTATTATATTATCATTATATTAATAATTTTACCGATTTCAAGTATTTATTAATTAGTTGTCAATTATAATAAGGTTTAATCACCTCAAGTTATTCTTATTTTTTTTTTCAATTTTTGTAATAATTGTGTAGATAAATAGGTAGTAGGTACTCATAAAACGAATATATTATGAATTTAATCAAATCAATACATTTTTCTATACGAGTATTCAATAATACATTAAGCCCAATGCCGGATTACCCATTAGGCGCCCGCCTAGGGCCTCACTCATGTAAGGGGCCCTGTGAAAACGGAAAACTATATTTTTTTTATTTAATAATACCCGAATTTTGTTTAAAAATTTACAGGACAAAAGTCATTATGAAATATAATATATATTAAGTTGTAAGTGTTATATGCAGTAATAATAATAAAATAATTTTGAAAAAAATAGAAATAATATAGTAATTAATTAATTTTTTTCCCGAATAAAAAAAATGTAATAAACACGATTTTATTTATTTAGTTTTATTTAGTTGGTCATTATTAAAGCTGTTTATTTAAATTATTGGATAGTTATGTTAAAGATGTATGTAAAAAATAATTTTGTAGGGCCCAACATTTTAATTGCCTAGTGCCCACAAATATTTAATCCGGCACTAACTAAGCATATAATATATAGGGTAATTTGATTATTGTTTACCTTTTATAAGGTTTTGATTCATTAGGATTCAGGACGTTCGGATTGATGAATATTCCATAAATTATGTAGAACTGATACCTGCAGGATTTGGTAAAATAATTTTGTTTACGTGAAGAAATGTATTTTTATTATTATAACGTACGTGTTGAATTCATACAAATTTATCATTCTAATTTTCCATTTAGATGCACTATAGAGTATATAGATACAGTTAAACATTCCTTCAAACATTCAATAAAATTATAGATAGTAAAAGTAACGGATGTATTGATTATTTTGTTTTTGGTAACTTATTAATCATTTTTTTTTCTTAATCCCTCTAGTTTTAATTTAAATTTAAAAATTAAAACTACGCGTTCTATTTTATTTAATCTATAAACTTATTATTTTTAACATTTTTTTAAATTAAAGTTAATATTATTATAATTTTGATTATACTTTGGTATTTAATAATTTTAAACTATCATACGAGTTTGTTTTCATTTCCTTACTATGAAATATTTACTATAAATTATGAGATTAAATGATACCCAGAATATATATAAAATCTAACTTAGTTAAGGTTTTCTGAGGTCAAAATTGTAATTGTAATAATTAATATCAGATTGTAAAGACTTAAACATAAAATAGTAATCAGCCTTGGCGGTATGAAATGTATTATTTTAAATTGTTTTTTAAACCTCCATTTGATTTTAACTATCTAAAACTAAAAATTTATATTTTCGTATATTTCTTTGTTAGTTTTGTCAATTTTTCATTAAATATTTGGCATAGTAAATAAAATATAATATTATATAATATTATAAATAATAAGTACCGAAAATTATGATATAGCCACGATATATATTTCTGAGCAGGGTCGAATTAACCTAGGAGCAAAAGGAGGATTTGCTCTAGGGTGGAAAATTTAGTGGGGCATAAATAAAATTTCCCACAAAAATAAATATATATTAAGAACAATAATTATTTTAGAAAAAGTATTTTAATTATTATTAGAAAAAAAATATGTAGGGTGTTCCAACTTTGTACAACTTTTGAATCTAACGTCATTTTTATATTTTTTGTTGGTAGATCTTTTATTGTTATTTATGGTATTTTCTATTATTCCGATTTGATTTTCAGTTGTTGTTTTCTTAATTGTTGAATTGTACAGTTTGGACATAGAAACAGATTTTGTAGAAGAGTTGGTACAGTGCAAAACTGTACCAAAAATTACTAAACTGGTCAACTTTTCAAAACATTTTTCATCAGACACCAAAAATACTTTTATATAACAACTGAGAACACTGAAAACATTTAGAGGTTTTAGAGGCATTGTTTCCTAACATCGAAATAATTTTATGAATTATTTGCACTTTACCTTCTTCAAATGCAAGTGGCAAGAGATCGTTTTCTGTTTTAAAATGTGTAAAAAAACTATTTAAGATCGTCATTAATATAAGAAAAAATGTCCAATTTATCAATTTCATCTATTTATTTATTTCAAAATTTTAACTATAAATTCATAAAAAATCTATTTAAAGAAAAATAAGTAATATTAGTTTTTTTTTTTTTTAATTGACGTTAATATTAATAATTACTTTAATTATTATTTGTATATTTTTGAACCGATTTATTGATATTATAATTGTATTTTATGACTATTTTTCATTAGTTTAAAAAAATTCTTTGGAAAACCATTTTATAACATTAAACGTATAGTTATACTTTTTAGTGTAAGTAGATTAACTATTATATTAGGTATATTTTATAATAGTATTTAATTTTTTTTAATTTATACATAAAAACCAAGATTTTTTTTTAAGTTTCTTTTTAACTTCCTTTTAACTTCACTTAAACTTTTTTTTTTTTTTTGGAGGAGTAAACATAATTTGATCCAGGACGGTATCGGCATTGTTTCTAAGTATACAAAAGTATTATGAAAATGATTTATATACTATATAGTATTATAAATAATATATTTACTTTTAAGCGAAGACAAAAGTAACTTTGTTTTACACTGGTATATTTTATTAGCTTCTGAATGAAATGAGAAATAAGTAATTTATTGACTTTGTAAAATATTATATTTTTTCTCTGATAAAATTTTCAGGTAGTATTACTTTTAAATTTAAAATGTTAACCAAGTTGCACAAATAGGGTGCAAGGGCTTAGATTCTTCAAAAGATATTCAAGGCCACTCTAGAAAAATCTTTCCAATTTCTATGGATTTTTGATTTTTTTTTTAGTGAATTTGAAAAGTGCCACAAAGTTCATTAATTTTAAGTGTTTTTCAGTTTTGCGTGGTGGCACTGAGGCATTTTATCTTCATTGTGGTGTCCGGCGACCAAAGCCTTCGTAGTGAATGTTGTCGACACCGTCTCTCTCTAGTTTTTGTGTCTTCGTGGTGTGCACATCAAATTTTCATCGTCTCAACATTTTTCGTCCTGTTTCTCAAGTTTGTCAAAACCACGTTTTCTTGTAAATCCTGTGAATATCTGTCCGCTAAATATCATTCGTGACAACAGTCACGGACACAAAATGTTTGTAGATAAACAGTACGTTTTCAGTACGAGTTTGAACTTCGTAGTGTCACGTGTTGGTCTGTGGCGATTATATTCATAAACCAGTTTTTTTTTTAGTACGTTCTAATAATGGGTGACGACAATTTTGAGCAACGATGTGCTATCCGATTTTGTCTTAAACTTGGTCACAGTGCGACAGAAACTTTTCAAAAGCTTCAACAAGCTTATGGAGAAAGTTTGCTTTCAAGGGCTCAGGTTTTTAGGTGGTTTAAAGCATTTTCAGAAGGCAGAAAGTTGATTGAAGATGAACCTCGCAGTGGAAGACCTTCAACTGCAAAAAATGATGAAAACATCATCAGAGTTCGAGAACTTGTCCGATCCGATCGTCGATTGACGGTCAGAATAATTGGAGAACAGTTGGGATTATCTCACATCACCGTTCATCAAATTTTGACCATTGATTTGGAAATGAGAAAAATCTGCGCAAAAATAGTTCCGAAAATTTTGTCACAAGACCAAAAGGACAACAGGAGGGACAGGTGTCTCGATTTCTTGGAGCAGATTGAAAATGATCATTCTTTTTTAGAACGTGTCATTACTGGAGACGAGACTTGGATTTTCGAGTATGACCCAGAAACAAAGCGCCAGAGCCAAGAATGGCACACATCAGCTTCACCGAGACAAAAAAAAAGGAAGAATGAGCAAGTCAAAAATCAAAACGATGCTAATTTGCTTCTTTGATAGCCAGGGAATAGTTCACAAGGATTTTGTACCTCAAGGCCAAACAGTCAACCAACACTTTTATAAAGAAGTTCTCGAAAGACTTCGAAAAAGGGTCATTTGGGTGAGACCAAACATCAAAAATACCTGGGTGCTGGCTGCATCACAACAATGCACCTTGTCACACAGCCATTTCAATTAACCAATTTTTGGCAACCAAAAATATTCCCATGGTCCCTCAACCCCCCTATTCACCTGACTTGAGTCCTTGTGACTTTTTTCTGTTTCCAAGAATAAAAATTCACCTTAAAGAACAACATTTTGGGACACTAGAAAATATTAAAATGTCTGTGACCGACCAACTGAAAGCTATTCCAATAACTGAGTTCCAGAACTGCTACGAACAATGGAAACATCGACTCCAGCGCTGTGTGAATTCTCAGGGCAATTACTTTGAAGGAGATAATATAAAATAGTCACTTTAATTCAATATAAAAAAATTATAAAAAATTAATCTCATTACTTTATTTACACACCTCGTATATATATATATATATATAAGTGGGAATAAATGTTCATATTACGAATGTGAAAAAAAGCCCTCGAAATGTTGACGGTTTAAGATTATTTCGATTTCCAAAAGACCAGGTTTTATGTAATAAATGGATTCAGTATTCAGGTACGAATTAAATTATGAATAAATATTAGTTTGTAACGAATATAAACGTTTGGGGTGGACGTTTATATGTCGTTAACAAAATAATATAAATATTTAATATTATGACAACTTGTTTATTACCATTTTAACTTTGAACATAATACAAATTTATATACATAAAGTAGTATAATATGTTTACACGAAAAACATAACAAAATTAAACACACAACAACAATAATACATATGATAGTTATTCTAATGCACAATACAAATAAAATACATGTTTGATGTTATAACACGGGTAGACATAGGTTTAGGGGTATATTTACGTGTATGCGACTCTGGTGGAACTCAACTGATATATGGAACACAGTGTTATTGGACAACGTTGAAAGGATGACAGGATAACACCCGATGGTGATCAAATCGCAAACGTACGCGGAAAGGCCCGAGAAGAACTCCGTGATAACCCGGACTATACACTGTGACGTGTACCGTGGTTATCGTGGAAGGGAATGCAGCGGTGGACGCGTTACGAATGACGGTGACGACGTTGGTCCGTGATAGCTTGGTCTATACACGGTTAGGTGTACCGTGGCTATCAACGGATGAGCGCGGCGGCGAAATCACTAACGACAGCAACGGTACGAACAACACCGGCGACGATACGTCTATGGCGGCGGTGACGGCGGCGGCGATCTGAACGACGGCGGTATTGACGATGGCGGGAAGGCACTATACTCAGTAGTCTACTGTCACAGAAGACACGACACTCTGGTCTTTACACGGGTTAGGTGTACCGTGAGTGTCGATATTGAATGGTGGCATTGGGCGAGATACGCAGTTGACTTATGGTCGAAAGGTTTTGCCACTGACTTTGCACCGATTCCAGTTTGTGACTGCAACGACCGCTTTCAGAGCAGGAATGAGTGATTTGTATGGCGATTCCGTGGTGTATATCAAGGCCTCTGGGGACACACCCCAAAAGCAGATTTATATATGAAAAAAGTGATTTTGTATAGGTATTCGCATCCTGACGGAATTGTGGGTGGTCGGTATGATTTCTGAAAGGGTCGATGTGAAATAGTTTGTGACCCGAACGGGTTGAATAAACATAAAAATAAAGAAAAATATGACAATTGAGTCGGGCGGCCGCTGTGTGCAATCTTACCGGCGTGATAGCGCCATTTGTCGGCTGTTTTCGGTCGCCCGACTGTTTGCGTACTGCGCTTAGTCGGTGCGTGTAGTATCGCCATTGACTGCTACCTACTGCGCAATATATGCGGGGTATCTATGGTGTACCGTTACAAGTTACAAAAAAGTGTTATTTTTATTAGTTGTTTAGAACAGCTTTTAGGTACAAAACACTATTATACGTTATTTATTTTTTAGAAAAATTTTATTTTTTATTTAAAATTAATTATTAAATATTATTAATATCAAATTAGGCTTATAATATTTTTGAAAACATTTTTTCGCATAATTATTTTTATAGTCTAACTATTAAAAGTTTGAGCATAATTTTAAATAAAATATTGGATAAATTGAATTTTAAATGTTAAAAAATTATGACAAAGAATTTATAAGCGTTAAAATCTAAAGTTCTTAAAAAAATTCGACAGAAATCACAAAAAGTTGTATGATTTATGTATTTAAATAAAATAAAACAAAATTTAAATTAAATACTAAACATTTCAAAGTATCTGTTTTATAATTATACTTTTGAAAAAATTACAAAAAGTTACAAAAACTGGAAAATTTACATTAAATCAATTTTTGACTCCTTGTTTTTTTTTTTTTTTAATATTAAAAACTAAACTATAAGTACCAATATTATCAAGTATATTTTGAATATTAAATTTATATTGCCATCGGTTGGGAAACAATTTTTTCTCATCTAAATCAAATTGCTTGTGGGCTCCTGGAGACTTAGGCTCATTTTTTTTATAATTAATATAATGCTATGCTTCTCATGCATTTTTATTATTGATCATCATAAAAAAAATTTAAGAATTTAAAAATTTAAAAATTCTCTTATATCTTATATCGTTGGATTGGGAATTCTAAATTCAAAACTGGTTTCAATATAGGCATTTTGAAACAAATAAAAATGAAAGCTGATACAATGACTGAACAAGAACGATTTTGTACATTAGTGTTTGATGAGATGAAAATTAAAAATTACTTAGAATATTCTAAGTTTCTTGATCTTATTGAGGGGTACGAAGACTTAGGCCCAAAAGGACGGTCAAACAAATTGGCTGGACAAGCAATGGTGTTTTTAATAAGAGGTGGAAACTGGAAACTGAAATGGAAACTGCCTTTTGCATATTTTTTACCAACAACGTCAGTCAGCCATACTATTTTAAGTGAACTTTTGATCGAAGCAATCAATAAACTATTTGATTGTGGATTTATAGTTTTATCAATGATTTGCGACCAAG